GGCTCTGGCAGAACCAAAATGAACCTTAAAAAATGCAGGGTTTGCATCAACACACGCTTTAGGAGTGCAGAGAAAATCAGCCAACTTCACACCTACTGTATATTAGTGTGCTCTATGCCTCTCAAAATGTGCTATGAAAGAACTGACATTAGCTGCCCCAAATACTCTTGATCTTATCTGTTACCCAGCAAAAATTATCTGATATACAGTGGTGCCCCGCATAGTGACGATAATCCATTCCGAAAAAGTTGTCGCTATACAGATTCTCAGAGAAAATCAGCCAACTTCACACCTACTGTATATTAGTGTGCTCTATGCCTCTCAAAATGTGCTATGAAAGAACTGACATTAGCTGCCCCAAATACTCTTGATCTTATCTGTTACCCAGCAAAAATTATCTGATATACAGTGGTGCCCCGCATAGTGACGATAATCCATTCCGAAAAAGTTGTCGCTATACAGATTCTTTGCTATGCGGGGCTAAAAAACCCATAGGAACGCATTAAAACACGTTTTATGCGTTCCTATGGGGAAAAAACTCACCTTTAAGCGAAAATCCTCCATCCGGCCACCATTTTCGGTGCCTCTAAAGTGAGGCAACACAGCAGGCGGCCATTTTGGAACCGCCGATCAGCTGTGCGAAAATGGGGCCTTTGGGATGATCCCGGGGGAATGCTTCCCCGTGATCATCCCAAACCCCCCGCCGATCAGCTGTGCTTTGGCGCTGGCTCTCTGTCCCCTCGCAGCTCCAGCCTGGACAGGGAGACTGAGGCACCGCACCGCCACCCTGGCTGTGGCCGTGTGGTGCCTCAGTCTCCCTGCCCATGCTGGAGCTGCAAGGGGTGGAGAGAGAGAGAAAGAGAGAGAGAGCGCACCAAAGCACAGCTGATCAGCGGGGATTTGCGAAGCTGGCTTCCCCCCATGATCTTTGCAAACTCCCGCCGATCAGCTGTGCTTCAGGCTGGCTCTCTCTCCCCTCGCAGCTCCAGCCTGGGCAACCCGAAGCACAGCTGATTGGCGGGGGTTTGCAAAGATCACAGGGGAAAGCCAGCTTCACAAACCCCCGCCAATCAGCCGTGCTTCGGTGTGTGCACTCTCTTTCTCTCTCTCCACCCCTTGCAGCTCCAGCCTGGGCAGGGAGACTGAGGCACCACACCGCCACGGCCAGGAGCTAATTATTTACATCATGGAAGGAAAGCAAGAATATTAGGTATACATAAAATACATAAAATATAGATTTATAAAAATTATGTATCTATTTTTGAAAGCATACATATATACATACACATACATACACACACACACACAAACACACGCACACACACACACACACACACACACAGATGTATATAAAGACATTTTAGAATCATTAGTTTTCCAAAGTTATTATTCACAAGAGGAAATAAGAGGGGTACCTAAACTGATGTTTCTGCTCATGATGTCACATCTCCACTCAATCAGAATGCTCTAACAAGGCATTCAAAAAAAGATTCATTTGAAACGTCAGCAGGGAGAGCATTCTTGCACCTACCTCCACTATCACTGTCTGTACATACAGAGCAACGATGGCAAACCTATGGCACACGTGTCACAGCTGGCACACAGAGCCCTTTCTGCGGGCATGTGAGCCATAAGTCGGCGAACTGCTACTCCCCCCCAAGCAAAACCTCAGGAGGCGGCTGCAGCCGCGGTGCTAGCATTTTGAGTGGTGGCTGGCCAGGATCCAGAGCAGCTAGCACTGGCAGCGGATCTGGAGTGGGATCTCAAGGCACCTCAGTGCCCGGGATTCCCCCGTCCACCGCCACTGCTGGTTCTGACGCCATGGCCTGCCACCCACTGGTTAGTTTGTTTTTTTCCAGTTTGGGCACTTGGGCAGAAGGACAGCATTAAGGAGGGAAAGTCTGTTTACATGTGTAGTCTCTTCACATGACCACTAACCTTGGCTTTTTAAGATCCTCAATTACAAGGAGAGACAATTGTGCAGCAGAGGCTTTCACTGTCAGACATTCCTTGGTAACCTATGCTGTTTAGGAGTCTGTTCTGTATTATGATATTGGCTGACAGCTAGTTCTTTCTAGATTAAAAGTCAATCTACCCTATGGTGTACATATCTTGCAGCACACATTACACACACACTCTTATCCATGGCCACAAGTTAACCATCATTAAGGAAAAAGCTTTAGAAATTTGGATCCTTGGGGAAGTCAAAATCTTGTACTAGAATGTTGAGGGGACAATACACAAAAGAACATACAGCAAGGCCCCACTTAGCACCCAGGATACATTCCAAGACAATGAGTGCTAACTGAATCAGAGCTAAACATGGTCATTTTAACAAAATAGTGCAGAGCTATTTAGTTAGGTAGACCAGGCCAATGTTGAGCACCACAAATGGCCTTGAGCACTCACACAATTCTCTGAGCAGTTTATATAAAATGTATAATTTTTAAAATATACAAGTGAAACTATAAAACAGAGCAACCAGCCAGACTAGCGAAGCATTAGTTCCCATGCAAAGCTGGTTAATACGTACTCTACCACTATGGGGAGAACTTTTTTTTAACCTAAGATGACCTAAGGTTAAAAAAAGAGCAGGAAAGGTTTTTTTTTCCTGTTCTTATCTAGAATTTCTGTTCTCAAGTAGAAGCAAAATTTAGCAAACGGAGCTGTTCTTAAGTAGAATTGTTCTTAAGTAGGGACGTTCTTAAGTAGAGACCCCACTGTATACAAGTGAAACTATAAAACACAGCAACCAGCCAGACTAGTTGCAGTGTGGAATGAATACAAGACCCTGTCAGTGCCAACTTCCCATGCCAACCCTGACCCATTTGCACACAACAGGGGGAAAATCTGTTTGAATAGGACATACAAATAGATTCAGCATGCCTCTGCTGTTAAGAACACACATAACACATCTGGGAAGGTTTATTTCCATATCTTGATTCAAAGTCTCAACCAGGGTGGATAAAAATCAATCATTTTTAAAAAATCTAATTCATTTAATTTTTTAAAAAAATGATTTTAATTTAAACAAAATTAAATCATAAAAATTAAATTATTAAAAAAAATCTTTCTGAAAAAGTTAAATTGTGATTTAAATCAAATCCACCTTCATCTCAACTATATATAAAATCACATAGAAATATTCATAGCCTTTCCATTAGTTGCTATACCACTTGGCTTTATTTTATGAAAAATAGGCAATTTATACACTTACTGGCAAAAAGCCCTCAAGTGAGTACATTCAATACCTTTATCTAGTGTTTTAATGAGTAATATGTTTACATTTATGTGCAGCGTTACATGTAGTACAAACAACTCTTGAGTCCGGGGGGCTAACTTTACACCTTGTAATGCTGCAGTGTCCTTCAAAGACTCCTTACTTGAAGTTTTCCTCAAGCTGAAAACAGTGACCTGACAGCTTCAGCAACAGTATATAGTGAGAGCAGCTTTAGACTGGCTTATTCTGTACCCAGATAACAAATCAGCTTCCTCCATTGATGTTTACTGCATGGACTGCAGAAGTTAAGAGAAACGCAGCATAATTTATTCACCAGTAACTCTCCCTCCTGCAAAAAAATGGTCTGAAGCTTAACATCAAAAAAACTACGATCATGGCCACTGGTCCCATCACCTCCTGGTAAATAGAATGGGAAGATATGGAGGCAGCGACAGATTTTACTTTCTTGGGCTCCATGATCACTGCAGATGGAGACAGCAGCCCCGAAATTAAAAGACGTCTGCTTCTTGGGAGGAAAGCAATGAGAAACCTAGACAGCATCTTAAAAAGCAGACATCACCTTGCTGACAAAGGTCCGCATAATCAAAGCTATGGTTTTTCCAGTAGCGATGGATGAAGTGAGAGCTAGACCATAAAGAGGGTTGACCGCCAAAGAATTTATGCTTTTGAATTGTAATGCTGGAGGAGACTCTTGAGAGTCCCCTGGACTGCAAAGAGAGCAAACCTATCCATTTTGAAGGAAATCAACCCTAAGTGCTCACTGGTCCTAAAACTGAGGCTCCAATACTTTGGCTATCTCATGAGAAGAGAAGACTCCTTGGAAAAGACCGTGATGTTGGGAAAGTGTGAAGGCAAGAGGAGAAGGGGATGGCAGAAGATGAGATGGTTGGACAGTGTCACCGAAGCTACCAACATGAATTTGACCCAACTCCAGGAGGCAATGTAAGACAGAAGGGCCTGGCGTGCTCTGGTCCATGGGGTCATGAAGAGTCAGACACGACTTAACGACTAAACAACAACTCTCCCTCCCTCCCTCTCCCTTTCTCTCTCATACACACACACAAAACACACTACAAAAATTCTTCAGTAGCAAAGTTATCAGGCTATGCCAATAATATTTCAAATTCCACTCTTGATAACTATATTTCTCTCATAATTGTCTCTATTGTTGCTGAATGACTGAATAGAGAAAGAGCAACAGATACATTTCTCAGACAACCAGGCAATAATTTTAAAGAGTTTGTACCATGTTGTTTGTCAAAACAAAAATATTCTTTTGGCCTGCATTCAAGTTTCTGTTTTGCTTGAATAATTTGAGCAGAACATCTGTATTTTCCCCCCTTCAAGACAGCTTCTATGTTTCAGCAGGCTTTAGACATGTTTATGCAAGTGAGTCTCACAGAATTCAACAGGGTTTATTTCTAGATATGTGGGTACTGGATTATACAGCTGCAGTTTAAGGTCTGCAGCCCATTTTCAATCCATCTCAAATTCTAATTATAGTTGCTAATGCAACAACCATGCTCATTCACCTTTCCTACTGCATGGAAGCATAAAATAAGAGGCAGAAGTGCCAATCTTAAATTCAGCCAATACAAGTTACTCTTTAAAAAACAAACAACCGGTGTTCCCATTGTTTAAAATCTGGAGAAAAATAGCAAGGATTTCTCAGTATGATTAAAAATGGTTACACTGAGCAAAAAATACTCCCACCAAATGGAACATAATACAGTATAAATAAAATTAGAAGGATACTCACGCATATCTCCAAAGGCACCCTTGGTAACATTCTTTGCTTTCTTGACTGTCACAGTAAATTTGTGAGAATACTGGTGCTCAACCTGAATTGCCAAAACAACAGCACATTAGGGGGGTAATAAAACAACACAGAACAAATAAATGAAACTGTTCTCTTTGATTGATTATTTCAGCTTTTCTAATATCTCATTTTTTCCCACCATCCTCCCTAGAAGGGAATGAAAACCTCACTGGAAGACACAGCATCTTGAAAGAGAAGATTGGCTGTTTCCAGCATCAATTCAAACAGATAGACTACATGGAACCTGACCAGCTCGTAACTCCTGCATAACTTCTTTGTCTTTGTACACACATACATTTATGGTTGTTGGTTTTTGTTGTTCCTGCTGCTTTTAATTTTAGCTTTACTGAATTAACACTCCTCCCCTCCACACACAGGTACCATTAACATACTTGATTAGTCAGCAAGAGCAGAGCAGGTGCTGAGATGAAAATCTTGGGCAGCCTTTACTTCACTCTGTATCTGCAATTTCCCTTACAGGAGAAGATATAATTATATCATCATGGTACACTATGGATATATGTAGACATGTACATTTTACAAATAGGTTTACCATTTAGGATAGCAGTGGGTGGTGTGTCAGAACTTCCCATTGTCACTCTGCCTTGTCCAGAATAAATCATCAGCCAAAAAACAGAACACACCCCCCACTCAAAATTTACACATCCCCCAAAGAAATACAGAGAATTCTGGAATGATCCCACATAAATCTGAACAAAACAGCAAAATTGTACCCCAGATCCAGAGATATGAATCTCTGCAGATCTGTAAATTCACAGGAGTACCCAAAATGTATATCACTTTCTAAAAGTAACTTGTTTATTTTTAATTTTTATTCTTTTAAATTTTATTATCAATCCATTCCAGACAGCATAACAGAACAACACCTATTATATTACCATAATAGTAAATTTCTTATTCATAAACTCTTATACCTTCATGTATACACATTGTTTACATTATCTCTTTATCTTTTTCACATAGTCTCTTCTATGGCTTATTGCATTTTTATGTCTAGCTGATTCCGCTTAGAATAACCAGCAGTCCAACCCATTATCCACTTGGTTTTTTTGGCTCCATATCGTATGTCAACAGGGAGTGCCATATATCCATGATCTTTTTAAATCTCCCCTCTGTATAGTCTGACCCAATTTGTCAGTTTCTCCACCAACACCACTGTCTATATTTTATTCATATATCTTTGCAAACTGAGGTCCTGAGCATCTTTCCAGCACTGGGCAATTTCGTTCCACACTGACCCATAAGGGTTGCCACCAATTCTTTTTTAAATCTCCCCTCTGTATAGTCTGACCCAATTTGTCAGTTTCTCCACCAACACCACTGTCTATATTTTATTCATATATCTTTGCAAACTGAGGTCCTGAGCATCTTTCCAGCACTGGGCAATTTCGTTCGACACTGACCCATAAGGATTGCCACCAATTCTTTCTTTAATATATTATCATTTCCTGCGGTAATTAGTAATAAGGTTTCATTTGGAGCTTTTTATTATTATTTGTTATTTTTTCTAGCCAGTTAATGACCTCATACCAGAATACTTCTACTTTTTGGCAACAAGCTAACCCCATGTGTTCCAAAGTTCCTTTATAGCCACACTTTCTCTAGCACAATTATGGTATCTCTCTGTTAATTTTATGTATTTGGCAGGACACAAGTGCCACCTGTGGACTACTTTTACTATTTTTAACATCATCTGATATCAATTTGTAT